CGTTTTTGGTACTTTCCAAAGATAACATCAAGTCCCTGTTGTCGCTGATAAACTTCCTCTCCAGACAAGGGCTTTGGAGCAACACCATGCTCTTGTTCCCCATTGAAAGCTTTCCGCAATCTACGATATGGATGATAACGTTTTAGAAATTTTCGATGCCCGAGATAAACGGTCTTCTTTCCTTTTTCAAGCTGATGGTAACAAGTGTCTTTTTCACATATAGGACATGCATTATGCCCTTTAACTTTATACCCAGACAAATTACCATATGCCGGAAAATCATTGATGGTGCAAAACAACATGGCACGCATATTGAACTGTTCGCCAGAATACGCATCAAAAACATCCACCCCTTCATCCCACAACACTCTTAAATCATCAATCAGTGGACTTAGATAAACGTCTATGTCATTTCCTGGTTGTTTTGGGCCCGATATCATCATCGATAACATAATATATTTACGCTTCATGCACAGCCTAGGAGATAGGTTGTAAATCATCAAGAGAACAGGCCAAGAACTATGGTTAGTACTCAGATTACCGAACGGATTCATTCCATCAGTAGCAAGTCCAAGTCTAAGGTTTCTCGACTCTTTGCCAAAATTTGGAAACAAAGAATCTATTTTCTTCCATTGCAAAGAATCAGCTACATGACGAATTTGTCCATCATATTTTCTTTCTTCTGCATGCCATCTAAGATTCTTTGCGTCATCTGCATTGGCGAATAATCTCTTGAACCTTGAAATTATTGGTAGGTACCATACCACTTTCGCAGGAGGACCCTTTTTTTACCACCTCATCATCAATTGACTCACCATCTTTCTTTTTGTAGCGTGAAGCCTTACACTTTGGACAATGATTATACTTTTCATACTCTTTTCTGTATAATATGCAATCATTAGGGCATGCGTGTATCTTTTCATACTCCAAACCCATTGGACACAATATTTTCTTCGCCTCGTAATAACGACTTGGCATTACATTACCTTCTGGAAGCATTTCGGTCAACAATTCAAGTAACTCGGTAAAACTTTTGTCAGTCCACCCATTCTTTGCCTTCAGATTAAATAATTTTAACACGGCTGACAGACGTGTAAATTTTTTGCATCCCGGGTACAATGGTTTATCCTTGTCATTGCATATAGTATCATACGTATGTGCCCTCTTAAACGAATCTTGTCCAATATCATGCATCATGTCTTCTAGATGATCATCCATTTCTACACTAACACCATCTCTTTGAGACACGTTTGACTTTGCTACTACTTCACCGTGCCATATCCATTTTGTATAACTTTGACAAATCCCTACACAAATTAGATGATCCATGATTTCTTTCTTACTACGTTTTGGTTCTTTATTTGCACAACGAATACATGGACAGAGAAAAAGCGTAGGAAGACTTTTGTCAGCATTACTTTCAGCAAACTGTAGAAATTCCATCACTCCATGTTCGTACTCGTCACTTAATCGATTAGCTCTCATCCAACTACGATCCATAACTATGTTCACACGGAGGAAGGTCTGACGAACGGTGTGTCCGCGGCTGTGCTACTTCACGGAGATTCCGAGATTGCAAGTTGCGCTGCTTCGCGGAGAAAGACAAATAGAATCAAATTTCAATGGCAAGGTGATAACTCTATTAACAATTTATTACTAATTGTTATTATTTTTACACTTTGCACCACTAATACATAACTGATTCTCACTGGTTTCCTTTTCTAATAATTTCAAAACGATCACCATATATTCAATTTTTGTCTCAGAACCTGTAAATACTTAATAATATAACAATCTTCATGTTTCACTATCACCATCATGATCATGAAATTTCACACTGCACAAACACTAACATACACCATATTTTCTTGAAACAAGTAGCTTGTTGCATTAGTTAAAGTTACTAAGTTTAGTATCTATAAACATGTATAACTTTATCTTAAGGAAGAACCATAGAAATTTAAACTATCGTATACTAGCCAACTGCATAATATTGATATGTAATGTAACATAGCGTAAATGCATAAAAATGCTGAAATTGTAATGAAAAAGAAAATGTAAAAAAAAAAAAGAAATAGAATTAGAACGAACCCCAGAATGATTTGCAGAATGATTTGCAGAAGACGGGACTGATGAATCGGCGACGAGGAAGCAGTAGAATGGGTGTTGGAGGCGGTATGCGTCGCGGAAGTGGTGTTGACGGTGTAGGCAGCGACAACTATTTAAAATTGTTATCGCAAAATAAAAATTGATTAAAACATGAACAAACCCCCACAAGCAAGAATAACATATTAACATGATAATGACATTGAAACTTCAACCAAATTAAAATCAAGTGAACATATTATTAAAATCTCATTCAAATTTAAAACAAGCGAAAAAACAACCTCGCAACACGATCACAAGCACATTGACAAACCGAAACTCCATTATCAACTTCAAAATACCGATGTCAAACTATAATTATCATATCATCAAAGTTTATCTTTCGATTCCAAACCAAAAATCTCACAAATATATGAATAGAAATGAAATGTATGATCAGAAATGCAGCAAAACTTCCACTGTCAAACTTCGACGCGTAAAAACTCAACAATCAACAACAATTATCAAATCCAATGTGTTAACCACAATTAATCAACAATTATTGAGTCGAAATCAAACATCGATGTGTGAACCTTAACAATTAACAAAAATTAACCGCATCGAAATTCATGAGATTCAAACAATTGAACAAATAATAATCCAATTTCCCAATTATCCCTAATCAACCTCAAAAATCAATTAAGTTCACAATCAAAATTTAATTCATGCTTAATTTAAATAATCGCTTATTTTAAAATCACTTAAATTGAGCAAGCTTCAAGAAGTTACCGAAATGAGACCAGAAGAGTTGAATCGGAGACCGGAGGGAGAGTAGCGTGCGGACACGGTATCGGTCGAAGGGAATCCGGCAAGACGGAAGGGCGGACCGGCAAAGAGCAGGCCAAGCAATGGACGGTGCGACGGGAGGGCGGATCGGGCAAGGCAGAGGGCGTACGCACGTGAGGGTCGGCGGATGAACGTCGCGCGAAAAAGGTCGAAAATGGGTCGGCGGCGAACGTGACAGTAGGAAATGGGGGTCGTGACAGTAGGAAATGGGTCGGCGAAAATGGGAGGGATGAAGCGGCGGTCGGCGAAAATGGGTCTGAAAATGGGAAATGAACAGTTTTTTGGAATAAAATAAAATTCTGTTTATAAGTTTTTACATCGGTGGAATATTTGACCGATATAAGGGGACGTCTTTTACATCGGTGGAAACTTCCACCGAAATAATAGGTCTTTTTTTTTTTTAAATAATGACTAGGCTTTTACATCGGTGGAAACTTCCACCGATTTAATATGTTTTTTTTTTTTTTTTAAATAATTCTTAGGCTTTTACATCGGTGGGAACTTCCACCGATTTAATATGTTTTTTTTTTTTTTTTTTAAATTATTCTTAGGCTTTTACATCGGTGGAATATTTCACCGATTTAATATGTTTTTTTTTTTTTTTTAAAAATAATTCTTAGGCTTTTACATCGGTGGGAACTTCCACCGATTTAATAGGTTTTTTTTTTTTTTAAATTATTCTTAGGCTTTTACATCGGTGGAATATTTCACCGATTTAATATGTTTTTTTTTTTTTTTCCACGTTTTTATTAATTTTCAATATAATTTATATATTAATTCAAAGAATCATTTTTTACATCGGTTTGTCTTTAAACCGATGTAATAGCTTTCTTATATTTTTTTTAACTTTTTTGTCACCTTGTTTCTTATTTACAAAAATGCCACCGTGTTTTTTTTCTGGAAATCTTTTACATCGGTGGATTAGATTACCCGATGTAATAGGTGACGAAAAAAATTTTTTCCCTTATTTTTTATATCATTGGAAATAAATACCTGATGTAAAAAGTTTGTTAACTGTATTTTTTACATCACCTATTTTGATACCCGATGTAAAAACCTTTTCTCAAATGTCTTTTTTTTAGTAGTGTTAAGAGTACATCTAGTCCCTCTAATCCTTAAAGAATTTTCCACTGTGATTAGATTGTTATACAAGTTGAATGATGATATATCAAAAATAAAGATAATTTTAACTTTGTTCAATATTGATCTTTTGCATTTTATCATAATCAATTGTTATTTTTATCTATTTTCTTCTTTGTTGATCATTGTTGGCTTTATCTTTTTTTTCTCCTTCTTTTGTTGATGTATTGTCTTCAACAAAATCTAGACAAGATCAATGAAAAATTCTTCTTCACACATATATTGACATAGAATATTTGCACAATTAGTTACTATGAAGGACCAAAATAAAAAAAAATTCTATATTCCAAAGTTGCATTTTTTTATATTTACAAATGATAAAACAAAATTCGCTCATATGAATGGATCGAAATGACATTAACCTTTGTAAAATATTATTAATTAATACAATTGATATAAATATATAATTATTTTAATGAGGAGTATGTCTTATAAATTTAGCTGATATAATTTATATAAATATATAATTATTTTAATAAATATATGGATCAATAGTCATCTATTCTCTATAATATATGAGTTTTAATTTATCCCATTTAAAAAAAAAAATTGATTACCCCCTTTATAATTTTTTGGATACAGTAAACTTTTAGGTTAGTTTGACAATAAGGTGAGTTGGATGGATGAATTGAATATTTTTGTTATCTAGCCATAGTGGTCCAAAGTAGAGTAACTATATCCATAACTATGCCACATTCTTTATTTAATTATATTTATCTCTTTCCAAAACCACTAAACATAGCCTTTGTTTTTTGCAAAACCATGTCCGTTTCCAGTTGTGTAGCTCCTGGTATCATATTCTACCGATCTCCTATATTCATATAAATAAGACCAAACATCATTTACTTTTTCATCAACCAACCATACTCTCTACGAAACAAAACTCTCTGCATCTTAAATTGTTACCCGAAAATACTATATACACTATCATGATGAATCGTGCAACAAGTAAAGCTTGGATCGTGGCTGCTAGTGTTGGAGCTGTAGAGGCTTTGAAGGACCAAGTTGGTATCTGCAGATGGAACTATACTTTAAGACAAGCTCAACAGCATCTTAAGAACCGTGTTAGGTCATATTCTCAAGCGAAGAATCTCTCTTCTTCTTCGCATGTTGTTTGCAAATTCAAGGATGAGAAGAAGGCAAAGCAGGCAGAGGAGTCATTGAGGACTGTCATGTTCTTGAGCTGCTGGGGTCCTAATTGATTCATTCGTATATTCAAGTGATGCTAGATTAAATTAATTATGTCAAATTTGTATGATTAGTGATGTTAGATTAAATTAAGTATGTCATATTTGTAACATCAAATGGAAATATGTATAAAAGAATGTTTGTTCTTGATATCTCTATTTCCCCCAATTCATACATGACTCAAAACTGCACACCCTGCCAATAACCCAAAGATATTACTATTTTTCCAAAATGATTTTTTTTTATTTTTTTATAAATGAAACTTAAAGAAACAAAAGAGATATTCTTATCCTAAATGTTCTCTCTCTTATTTTAAATCTTGAGTGGTCTTTAATTGTAATCTATGGATTTAGAACACATTGATATTGAGTGATTGTCTATTGAAAGGTTGAGAGATATGCTCTCAAATTTGTAAAAATTAGATAATGATTTTATGAAGTGGATATCATGGATTTTAAATGAGATATAGTGAAGTTTTTGAAAAATAATGATTTTGAATTGTAGAAAGTGAAGATAAAAATATTTTTAATTTAACAAAAATATGCACAAATATTGAAAGGTGGAACGTTGATTTCGATAAGCTTGTCACAAACAGCAAAACGTGTATAATTGATAAGGTTGGGAGTGCTATTATATCGTGCGTTAAAAATAAAATATTGTTGATGTTGACAAGCTTGCGACAAGCAGAGAACTTGTAAAATTATAAGGTTGAGTGTGTCATTATTTTGTGCTTCAAAAGTAAAGTAAAGTATTGAAAAATTGCAAGGGAGAATACTATCATAGAACTGTAGGTTAAGCTTGAAATTGACTTATTGATTTTGTTTGAAACTACGTTATTCACATGAGATGGTTGAAAATAAATTTATTATAAAATAATTGACAAAATTCTACAAAATTATTGGTGACTTGCAAAATATTGAAATAAATATGATGATGAACACAAATCTCTTCTCTTGTTGAGTTATTTTTTAAATATTTTGAATATTTAAATGATGTCTTGTTTTACGGTAAGGACGAAATTATTACCTTAAAGAAGGTTGGTGATTAAAACTAAAGAGTTTATAAATCTTAAAGACAAAAATTTTCACTACAAGAAAAAGTTTGATTAGCTAGTGGATTCAGTGAGGTGATAAACCCTTCATTAAATTTTGACATTGTTTGGGGTAAACCCCTTCGCAAATGATAAAACCGAAAGAAATATTTTTTTAATGGTGATGAGCTACCTCTCGCAAATAAGATAGGAGGAATTTTTGAATTTTGAAAATTTTACCGCTCTGTATTTTGCAAGGGGTTCCACCTCACAAAATATGATTGTTGCTTACGCGTGGAGATACCCCTCACAAATTGTAGTTGATTGAAAAGTGTGCAGAATTCTAAAAAGTGTGTTAACATTTTGTCTGGGACTACCTCCTCACTAATTGTCTTATTTAAAAAAATCTCTATTTTTCCAGATTTATTTGTGTCTCTTCTTCTCATTCTTTTCTCTCTTTCTTTTCTCTCTTTCTTTCTTCTCTTTCTTTCTCTCATATTCCCACCTTCTTCTACATTCATCTCTCATTTTTATTAATTATTAAATGTATTGTTCTTTTAAATTATATTTTATATAATGTTTAATTTATGTTTTTTTTCTCTAATATTTAGTTTTCGTTTTATGTTTTTAGATATATTTTTATCATTGAAGATAATCAAAGAATTTAAATTTAAATTGGGTGTTCATCAAAGGTATACATTTTTTGTTTAATTTTTCTTAAACCTACTTATATAGTTGTAAATGGGTGTTGTTTGTTATTATAGTTGTAAATGAGTGCCGTTAAGTAGGTGATGTTTATTATTATTTGTTATTATAATGATTATGGGTGATTTTTGCATAAATATTTGTTGATTAAAAATTATTTATTTATAATGATAAGTATGCTAGAAACTAGTTAAAAATATTTGTTAAAAAACAGTAGTATGTAAAATGATTTTTTTAGTTATAATATTTTAAAAAATAGTAAGGTAATAAATATATTATCATGAAAATATTATTGATATTTTAGAAAATTAATATAATGAAATAGTTTTAATTATACTAATTATAATTATAATATTATACTTTTTTTTCTGTTAATGCTAATATATTTTTATTTTATTAATATTTTTATTTTATTTTAATTTTTTTTACATATTGTCAAAGGTTTAACCCCTAGCCAATGGAAAACACTTTGCGAGGGGGTTAGCCCCAAGCAAAATGTCTGATACAATGCACCAATATCTGAACCCCTAGTCTGCGTCTGCGTTTGCATGTTGTTTGGAGGAAAATTTTGATTGTATTTTGCGAGGGGGTTAGCCCCAAGCAAAATGGCGACGTGAAAAGTCCATCGTAAGTAAATTTGTGACCCCCTATTTTGCTAGGGTACCAGTCCCCTCACAATTTTTGCATTTGTGAGGAGTTTTTGCCATTTGTGAGGAGATTATCCTCTGGCTGATTTCATTTTTTATTGTAGTGTTAGTATAGTGGATAAGCCTTGAATTTTCAAGAGGAGAGAGTGAGAATTAAGAAAATCAAAAGGGAGAAAAAACAACGTCTAACTCTTGAGGATTCAATAAAATCAAAGTAAGCATATTTTATTTTTCATAAAGTAGATCACTTCAATAAAAAAAAATCCTAAAATGGGAGAGAAGTTATTTTATGTAGATTGTGGTTGCCCCGGATGATGAAGGTTATGAGAGTGTTAGTATGCTAATGATAATGAGTTTGAAGTGTAAGAAGAGTTAGATCATAAATTTAAGATGATATCATTAGACGTGTTTAATTAATGATTACTTTGAGGCCTTGGAGTTAAAAAAAAGACACTTTCGTTCGAATCAGTAACAATAAGGTCTATAAGATTCATCATATTATTGAGGCGTCAAAATCAAGGTGTTTGATCGCCATGAGTTTCTTTCACTACGCCAAAAATAAGTTTTAGCAGCACATAAAAGAAAGCGCTTTTGGAAAAAAACGCTGTTTTTAAAAAAATTCGCTTAAAAAAGCGCTTTCAAAGGGTGCCTTAAGAAAGCGCTTTTCAAAAGCATTTCTAAAGGTCACCCTTAGAAAGCGCTTTTTGGGAAGCGCTGCTAAAGCTGGCCTTTCAGAGGGTACCTTAAGAAAGCGCTTTTCAAAAGCGCTGCTAAAGGTCAGCTTTAGAAAGCGCTTTTCCAAAGCGCTGCTAAAGTTGGCCTTTAGAAAGCGCTTTTAAAAGCGCTGCTATAGGATATGCTACGAAAGCGCTTTTTGATGTAAAAGCGCTGTTATAGATGACCTTTAGAAAGCGCTTTTGAAAGCGCTTTCGTAGGTAGTTTTATAATAAATATCAAAACACAATTCATATCACTTTTCTAAGCCCATTAGTTAAGCCCATACCCGAATTATTATTATAAGTTATTCAACAGAAACCCTTGCTGGAAATCATTTGCAGTATAGCCGCTCATCTTCGTTTCTCACAGGATCCCGTGAAGCCGCTCCAAAATGGTTCGTTCGTTTTCACAGCTTGTTGAATTTTAAACTGTTATTCTAATTTCATTCTTATGTGATTATTGTTTGTGATTTTGGTTACAGACTAAGAGAACCAAGAAGGCCGATATTGTTGGCAAATACGGTACGTTCTATCAATTTTCTTACTTTTCAACATTTTGTCTTGTTTGTTGTGCTTTTCGGTTTCAAATTTGTTTGTTTTGTAGATATTTATTTCATTTCAATTCACTATAAATGTGTTTGTTCTAACCCTAAAAACATTGTGGGTTTTTTAATTTCAATTAGGTTTAACTTAGGTTTATTTGCTTCTAATTTAAATGAAATTCTCAGCTAAGATGAGTTTATGATTTTTGTGTCGTAAATGGTGATAACTGATAGGTTTGTGTTCTAATTTCAGGCACCCAATATGGTGCTATTTTGAGGAAGCAAATTAAGAAGATGGAAGTCAGTCAGCACAGTAAATTCTTCTGCGAGTTTTGTGGAAAGGTAGTTTTTTTAAGGTGTTTTATGACGAGTTTTTTCGATCTGCATTGGTTGATTATGTTCTTAATTTGTTGTATGTAGTATGCTGTTAAGAGAAAGGTTGTTGGTATTTGGGGCTGCAAAGATTGTGGGAAGGTCAAGGCTGGTGGTGCTTACACTTTGAAGTAAGAATCTTGCTCAAAAAACATGTTTTCTCAATTTATTAATTGCTTGTATATAGTTGCTAACCTTGTGATTTTCTTTGTGCTTATTATTTTGACAGTACTGCCAGTGTTGTGACTGCTCGGAGTACCATCCGAAGGTTGAGGGAGCAGACTAAGAGTTAGAAAGGAAGCAGTATTACAATTTTGTTATTATTTTTTTTCAAAGTTATTGCAGAAACTCTTGTACGTCCTTAATTATTGTTATATTTGATTTGGATATTTGAGGAAGGTTTTGTAAGTGTATCAGTTATCTTTAGATTATTGAGTATTATTTAGTTTGAGCCACATCTTCTTGTTGTTAGGGTTGATTTTGTAAGACTGATTTTGAGTTACAATGCTGATAACAATGGTTTTTATATATTTTGAGGTACAAAAATGGTGTATATATATTTTGGATTACAATAGTATACAATGCATTACCGCGGTTTATGAATTACAGGTTATGGCAACTTGTTTATATAGATAATATGCTGCAAACAATGCAGGTATATGAATTATATAAATTATACCTCTAAAATAAACACCCTATGAAAGCGCATTTTCAAGAAAAACGCTGCCTTAGGTAACCTATGAAAGCGCTTTTTCACAAAAAGTGTTGTCTAAGGTAAACATATGACAGCGCTTGTCCAGGCAAAAACGCTGCTAAAAGACCACCTATGAAAGCGCTTTTCCAGAAAAAAGCGTTGCTAAAAGCCTACCTAAGACAACGCTTTTCCAGAAAAAAGCGTTGCTAAAAGAAAACTTATGAGAGCGCTTTTCATTAAACAAAAAGCGTTGCTAAAACCTATAGCAGCGCCACCTACGAAAGCGCTTTTAAAGGCCAAAAAAAGCGCTTTCGTAAGTCTTTTTTGGCGTAGTGTTTTAAGAAATGTGAGGTAGGTTGTCGTACTTAGGTAAAAAAATTTGTCCATAAAAACGTTTGATGAATTAATAATATTTGATCAATTAATAATTTTTGATGAATTAGGCTATTGCACTAGAAGTATCACATTGAAGTTTTCAAGAGTGTCACACTCTTAAGAATAATAACAACAACACGACACCAATATAATTTATTCCCCAGAACTAGTTTTTTACTCAAAGGTACTAAGACAACTAAGGTAAAAAGAAAAAATATATATTTGAGAGAGAGAGAGAGAGAGAGAGAGAAATTCAAAAAAAATATAGAGAAATTTGGAATTCAAATGTTAAATGAGGAGAAATGGTGTCTCCTTTATGTAGGGGAAGAGAAAGCTAAAAGAAGGGGCAATATTAATGGTCCAATCAATTGGGTCACTATTCCAATCGATTGGATGATCTAAATAATTGATTTTTTTTTCTATTTTAGAATTTTTTTTATGTAGAGTCGTTAGTCATTAAGACGCTATCATTAATCAATTATACAATCAATTTTGCTTCTTCCAATCGACTGATTTTAGGCCCAAATCGATTGGATAGCTCAATAAATGTTTTAAATGAAGCTGGCAATGTTCTAATCAATTGGTTAAGGCTTAATTTTTTTTAAAGTGATTTATTAATTAAAAAAGAGGTTAAAAAAGAATTTAAGTATGTGTGTTGTAACGCCCGTAATTTAATTAATTATTTAATTAAATTATTTATTTAAATTATTTTTGGAATATTTGTGAAGTTGTGTTGTGATAATAGTTGATGTGTTATTGTTATTGGGTTTATTTATTCTATTAAGTTGTGGAATAATATTAGAATAATAGTATTATTTGATGTGGGCTTGTTTAAAGAATATAAGTAGTAAAAGGGGGGTGTAGGAGTTATAAGCCCATTAAGGCATAATGAGAATTATAGGGTTATTATATTAGTTATTTAGAAATAATAAGGAAAAAGAAGAAGCAGTAAGAGAGAAAGAAATAAGGGTTGGAAGAGAACGTTAAAGTTGCAGAAAAGAATGAAAAGAGCCAGAACTGAATTCAACCGGAAAAGCTATAGAGAAAACTTCAATCCAAGGTAAGGGTGGGGTTCTGACTCTATAATGGGGTTTATAATGAGTAGTATGTGGGATTAGATGTGAAAAGTTGTCTTGTTTATGATTTGAATGTATATGTTGTTGTATGATGAAGATCAATGATTTAAGGATGAATAATGATGCCCTAGTGTTGTATATTTGATGTAGAAATATAGGATGATTGTAATTGATGATTTTCTATGATTAGAGGATGTTTTTAGGGCCTAAGGCAGGGAAACCATAGTAAAAACGCAATGAAATCGCATAAAATATTTATGATAGAACAGTACGTGTCGACCCAATAGCCATGCGTCGATACATGAAGACTTTTAGACTCAGGATGAGTCGATACGTAGGACTATGTATCAATACATGCAGTGTTACAGACTCAGTATGAGTCGACCCAAGAGGATCACGCATCGATACATGCAGCGTGTTAATCCCAGTATGCGTCGACTCAAGACGTTATGCATCGACTCATGTAGTCTGATTTTTGGCAGATTTGTTTCCGAAGGCTGTAACTTGAGTTTTCGGACTCCGTTTGAGGTGTCGTTCGAAGCGTTGGATAGTTAAAGCGGTGAACTTCATTCTTAAGGATTAAAATGAAGGATAAGGAGAGTAAATCCTAGTATCAAAATTAGGATTAGAGTTAGTTTCCCGCGTAAATCGCTATGATAGTTCTGTGAAGAATGATGAGGATAAGACGATTATAGATTATTGTTTGGTTCATGACAGTAAGATTAATGATGATAATGATGTAGTATTACAGAATAATAATATGTAGAGGTTTGTTAACTAGAGGTAAGCCTTTGATGATTAATTAATTATAGGCATTATCGTGTTGTAGGCCTATGGCAAACGTTGAGGGATTGTCGATCTATCGTTGTATTGTTGTTGTGGCTGACTTGCTGTAAAATTATGTTGATGAGTTACGTTGATGAAATTATGTTGATGAATTATGCGATGAATTATGTTGATGAATGATGTTGATGAATGATGTTGATGAATGATGTTGAGATGCCTCTAATAATTGGCAGCTATTAAGATGTAGGCTTCTGGCCAACGATGATGTTGTGTGGAGATGTTGTTAATTATGGTGTTGTTATTACATTCATGATGGTGTCACATACATTACATTTCAAGATGGAGTTGTTGTTCGTTAAGATGGTCTGTATTGGCGAATATTAAGATGAAGGTTTATGCCTTGTTGATGCCTCTATTTATTGGCAATTATTTGAGATGGGAGTTCTGCTCCAATGGTACCACATGCATTTGCATAGTATTGAGTCGCATTATATGATTGCATAAAGAAGTTATGTATTTGTTGGCTCCTAAATTCGACACCCTTGTTTTTATTAATATCAGCCATCAAAGCTGAAGGATGTTTTCGACCAGCTGGGTCTGTCGAAATGCCCATCAGAAGATGGCAATGTACTTAGAGAGTTTCTTCCAAGGGAGAATTTGGTGGCCTTCGACGTCGAAGGTGTGGCTCGTCGAAGATGCCTCTCGACGAAGGTGTTCGATTGCGCAGAGTGGGGCAGTTTGAAATTCAAACGTTTGGAGGGAAAACGGTTCCCAGCGGTTACCAAGTGCAACGTGCAAAGATCTGGAGCGTCGAACGCTGGGAACGTGCCAAGTGGAGTCATCTCGAAGCAGTGTAACTGCCCGACGGTTACTTGGGATGTTTAGTATAAATATTAGTAGTTCACGCAGTTTTTCGCGTGTGTTCACAATTATATACAAGTCACTCATATAGATTCGAGTACCCAGCGTGTGAGAAAGAATTGTTGAGAATGTATGTGTGAAACACCACTTTTATTAATCAAAGTCATTTATTTTCCAAAAACTTTACTTGCTTTCTCCTTTACTTTTCCTGTCGAAAGCCTTTATTTCAAGCCTTCCTTTATTTTATCAAGTTCTCTTCTTCATGCAAATTACATAAAGCTTCTTTATTTCCTTGTCATTTAACCATTATCAAACTTAGTCAAAACCCCAAAATCAACCATGTCTTAGGATCAATCTGATCGATCCTGCGAGTCACCAAATAAGTAACCTTTTGGAAGATCAGCGGTTGTTTACCAATAACCACGGTAAACAAATTGGCACACCCGGTGGGACAGTGTGTTGATTTTGAAGTTTAATCTTTTTTACACAAAATATCATCTTTTTCGAGAAGTATTGTATGTTATTGAGAAGTGGTAGAATATACACGAACAATACCAATACTTCCAGAAGAAGAGAAGAGATGGCGAATCCGCCAAACAATAACGAAATCCCACAAACGAATGTGGGATCAACGGTTATCCCAACCGTAAGCGAAGCGTTAACCGCTGGTTCAACACCAGCAGTAACAGTCACAACGACGGGGCCATTACCTCCGTTCACTGGCCCCATAGTGCCTTTGGGAACTCCCCCACCAAGGGGAAATCTAGGTACGAGGCCTTATGTTCCCCCAGGATTTATGACAGGCGGTCAAAATCGAGAACCACTATATGGCATGCCAACGTCTGACTTGGCTAGCCTAACAAACGCTGCGTCCACTTTTTCAGACCCTTTAGTGAGTGCCTCTTCGCCACTCCAAGGTTCTGGAGTAGGTATGGCGAACAGAAATAGGACCCAACTCTTAGGAGGAACGTCCCAAGTAGCACATGGCCTTACAAATGCCTCGACAGCAATCTTGAGGCAACAAATGGACGAAAGCAACCATGATATGGTTCAAATGTTGGCACAAACTTTAAGTACAGTGCTGAATCCTCTAATACAAAACACCACCCAATCGAATCAGCAGATGACAGCACAAATGACGCGTTTGGCTGATTTCTTTGGAGTACCCCAACCTATTCGACAGCCCCAAAGGGAGCCAATAAGGGGAAACCAAGGTATATTCTTAGAGGAAGAAACCACTATCAACCAAGGCCAGCAGCCTGTCGAAGAAAACCTTAGGGCACGATTGGAGCAGCCTGTCGAAGAACCTAGGGTTATAACCCCAGAGGTAAGGTTAGTTAACAGAAACCAAAATGCTGACGAAGTAGTTCAGCATATCCAATACCAGAATATGGGTTTGGAAAATAATCTGGCAACCATGATCGAAAGAATCATGACGCAAAATGGGATGAACATGGGCTTTCGTAGGCCCAACTTCACATCCCCACTGTCAGAATACGTG